GCTCGAATTCCATATTGGCGAAGCAGGTATGTTCACCCCTACATATGGAGGTGGATTGTGCTGATGAGTGTGTATAGCGCATATGGGCATCGAGGCTACACTGGCGAACGTCCAATTCGAGTGGACTGCAGACCGGAGTGTGCGCCTCAAGATCAGGGATAGCATACTGACCTTCAGTACTTGAGGCACCCCTGTTATATATACCTTGTTTATTTCAGTCCCACATTATTGTTTTCCGAACGGGCAGCAAAACATGTGTATTCCATAAAACAGCGACTGCAAGGCAAAGCGCGAACGTTTGAACGGCAACAATGAAACTCTAAAGGGAGCATGCGCCCCGGGAACAGACTGCCCCGATTTCACCCGAAGGACGAGGCCGATACAAATACAAGTCATGACGTTCATTATACCAAACCTCCAACCTCACTCCTATCAGCACCCATTAGTAACAACGCCACCCACACTCGCTCACACGTTCCGCTCGCTCCCCGCGCTCCCCACACTGACATCGCGGCTCTCCTCCGGCACCCGATCGTGGGCCCACGCTGCCTCCTTCGCCCCTGCCTCTCGCCGCTCCTCCACGATGAGGCTGATCGTGCGCGTGCGCAGACGCATGCGCGTCGCCAGCTCGTCTGGGTCGTGCAACACCTGCATATGATGCATGCGCCCGTCCTCACTCTCCTTCTCGTCTCCACCCTCGTCTTGGGTGCCGTCGTGGATGATGAGGAACTCGCGAGGCATGAGCACGGCGCGGTCGAGCGCGACGGGCAGCCCGCGGTGGCGCCCGCGCAGCATTACCGCACAGACGATAAGCTTGGAGAGGGCATGCATCTCCCCTGAGAGGGAGTAGTTGAACTGGAGATAGAAGTGAGCTTCTCAAATTTAGCGTTAGATCACGGTGGGTGCACGTACGCCTGGGATCCCGAGCGATAGGCCCACGGTGCCGTATGCAGAGACAAGTTCGAAGACTGTATGCTGGTTAGTATTGCTCGAACGCAGGTACACATTGCCGCAACACTCACGCAGTGCGAAGATGTTGAAGTACGACTGCTTGCTAGTATCCGTAAGGTTGAGCCGCTGTACGTGAACGCAATTTTAGCCTCCATCATACCTCCCGATCTTAGCCGCGCGTACCTCAATGATGCAGAGAAGGAAGAGCGAGACGGCTAGCCACCACATGTCTGCCAATATCCGTCAGCACGAGCGCAAATTCCTAGCCGCTAGAGGGAAGGTATATACCGAACGACAACTGTCTGCGCGCGTGCCGCACCAGATACCGGCCCCAGATCGCAACGCGCGACTCAGTCGGCCGGTCCCAATGTGCGTCGTCATTGATCTCGTCGTCCTCGTTGTCGCTCTCGTATACACCGAGCGACTTCGCCTCATACACGTTCGTCGAGCGCACGCTTAGACGATCATGTCAGCGCAAGCTGAGAGTATGACCTCGGATGCATATACCTCATGGCTATCGGGTAGATCGCGATGTACATCATGATCACGGACAGGACCCTGTGTAGGTGTGTTCAGACCCGATCAAATAGGATGCATGGAAGACGCTACATACTGCACGGCGGGCATCAGGCTCGACATCGGGATCGGCTGGTACCCCGCATTCCTGCACGCAGCCGCGTCCAACACCGCGTCGACGAACTTGATCCCAAACGGCAGCGAGTCCGTCGCCTCGTTCCCGATATCCAGCACGAGGTAGAAGAGCAGGTTCGTGCAGCTGTAGGGCCGGAGAGAAGAGGAGATCGGCGATCAGGGTCGCGTCAGGGTCCGCACGGGGAAGCTTATCGGCGCGACGTACTTGAGAAGCATGACGGTCCCGAGCAGGAGCCACGTCTGCCGAGAGGGGAAGAGGTAGATCGTGCACCGCCGCGGGTGGTCGAGCAGGAAGTGCAAGGACTCCTTTGTGCGCGATCGGCCGGGGAGCTTCGTCAGAAGCCAGCTGGGGGGGATCAGCGCGCGTCCACTGGGATGTATGCGGGGTGCTGTGGCTCACATGAAGAGACGGAGGCTGCGGCGCGGGAAGGGGTCAATGCACTGCATCCGGGGCTAGAAGTTGGGAAGCTCACAATATAGGCTGCGGGAGAAGGGTTTCGATTAGCACGCAGCCTCCATAGTCGCCCACAGAGACGCACCAGACACGTATTCCCCGCGAGCACACAGATCACGATGAATATGATCATTGGGTATGCCGTCTGGAAAGGCACCATGTTTTGGTCTACGAGCGACATTCCTGTGCACGACCGTCAATGCTTGTTAAGGTAAGATGAAGTTTGTGCTTGATATAACCTGTATTTGCCCAGGCGCCGACGATCTGGAAGGCAGAAAACCTACGGACTGTGAGCGACGATCATAAACTCGGTTTCCTGGCCGACTTACCAGACAGGATTGATGACCTTGTGCTGAAGAGGAGGAAGGTAGTTCTCTTGCCATCTCGGCATAGACATATACGGCGCCGTGACAATGAACGAGACGCCGAGCAACCCCAGATAATACTGCGCACCAACAAGAAAACTCAACTCACTGATCTGCCTCGCCGAAAATCAGCACTTACCGTTGGTATGACCCATGATAACGAACATAACGCGCGATACTCCACGCCGCCCAGTTCCTCGATGTTCTCCGTCGTAAGACCGTAGAACGATGAGTTGCGTTTGACGGTAGCGCTGAAGCTGAGGTACGGAACACGTTTGACAGGGGCGTTCGCATCTTCGGTGACTACTCCGACGGCCTGCGGCACTAACGTTTCCGTTCGCGGCACCGTCAATGTGCGCTTCAGGCGGCGTTCTAGACGCGGAGAAATTTTGCGCGCCAGGAGCGTGAGCATGTCTTGGATGCTGGGTAAGCCTCCGAGCTCATCCTCCCGATGCGCTGGCGGGGGAGGAGCAGAGAGAATGGAGGCTCGGCGCGACCGACGACTGGCCACACTGCTCAGGACATCGATACCACTTGCCTCAGCAGGCCTGTCCGATGATACCCTGCGCGCTTGCGAGCCCATGGGATCGATCGGATGCGGGGCGACGTCGAGCCTCCGTACCATGTCCGCGCGCAGCCCTGTTTTCATGTCTCTGTTCTGGCTGGTTCTCCGAGAGGGAAAAGGAGTCGTCCGAGCAGTACCGGCGTTTGCATGCGTCTCCCTGAATCGCGCCAACGTCTCACGGATATGTCGAAGCGAGGGCGACACATCCTGGGTGCTCTGCACAGTGGTGTGATCTCGTTCCATCTCAGCAGAGACGATGTGCCGCAGATTGCGGAGGAAGTACCATCTGCGCATACGTGGTGTAAGCTTTCGGCCACGAGGAGACCATTCATCAGGCCGTTACCTCCGCACGAGAACAACTACCCAGGCGACAAAAGCCTGTCTATGATGAGTACGATAGCATATATGCACTGCAGTGTCGCGCTTACTTGATTCCCAATCAGCTCGAGGATGACGAGGACGACCTGCTGCCAGATTGTCAAGGCGCTGAGGTCTACCGTGACAAGTCCGGTTCCGGTTGCGCCGCTGACGGAAATATACAACGAATCGATGAATTTGATGTAAAACTCCCCGTTGCTAGCCCAGAGGATCGTAGCCCCAACCAAAGGGACGACGGTGCTGCGACTAATTCAGAGTTCGAAGACGATATGCATACTTCTTGAAACACCCACAATGCGAGAAAATGAAGCCGGTAAAAGTTGACGCTTGCTTTGACAAATCTCCAAAACATGGTGGTTCGCCCGACTAGTCGCTTCCGGATGACGGCAGCAGATGGCCCTCCTTGGCTGCGCGACGCAGCCGGGGCTGGGCGTCAGTAGTCTGAACCACAGATACGTAAGCAAAGATCCTCGGTCAACGAAGCATGGGGGAGAAAAAGAGGCACGACGACGGGGCTAGACGACGGCGTACCGCCTCGTAGCCCGGCTCGGACGAATTCGCCGTGGCAGACGCTGTCAGTTGACATCCATCACGTGACTTACCTGGAGGCTCCATGTTTCTGTCAAAGCTACGCAGAGACTTTGAGGGAGACTGCATGGCCGAGCGTACTCTTGCAGCAGAGGACGAGCGCAGGAGGCGAACCAGGTAGTTCCCTGTAGGCGCCGGCCGTGGCAATTGCCCACTTCGGAACGCCTAGGACCCCGAAAGTCAAGCGAATCGTGTACGCAGCATGATATGCTGAAGCTGTAAACGTTCGAAGCCAGTTTATTTGGATGGGGGAGCTCATCATATGGTCACTTATGCCACTGAGACATTTTGTTGCGATTGAGGAAGGTCGATTCCTCCATGCAGATAGAGTTCAAGTTTGTTCGTGGCGTTCCGGGGTCCTTCCTACTAAGAAGGCAAAGGCTTGTGATCCTAACAAATGCAAACAACTCCTATCATCTCAGTTTCATCATAACTCCGATACTGCTGCCTTTAAATATTGCCTCCGAACTGTAAAGGCAGACGTGTTGGTGTCCTGGCTTACGGCACATGTCACGGTTTGCAACGCCCAATGCATCTCTCACATGCGCAGCGCAGTGACGTAAAAGTCAAAACATGATCAGTAGGCGTGCAATAGACTCCTCGGCGAATGAATAGCGTCAGCACCTGGATATCTTCAAGTGTGTGCGCCGCGAGCACATTTTTTAGACGTTCAATCTAATTCAGCAGGCAGAGACTGCAGTAACTCTGCTCGGCTGGTGGTTGTCATCATGGTGACGCAGCGGAGCCGGATGGCCTCCGTTTTGCCGCCCCCTCTCAGCGGGAACCTTGCGCAACACATGGAAGCTCTGAGCTATCCTTGCGCGCGCTTCTATGAATGCCGTCGAAGTCTACTTTGCACACGAGTGAAGCCAAACTTGGAACTGGAAATAATATTAGGACGGCAGTGTCAGTAAGCCCCGGCTGTGCCCTGGGGCGTGTGCATGGATCGACAGGGGTGAGCTCTAAAACGAACGCAAGTTCAAGCCGAGACGATCATCTCAACTGGACACACCTTCCGGCCTTCGGGCTGGGTACGCGGGAGGCAAAATGACGACAGTGGGATTCGAACCCACGCCCTTTCGGACCAGATAGACCAAGGTCCTGATTCTGGCGCCTTAGACCGCTCGGCCATATCGCCATGAAATTTAGTTTAGCGATACACTCAAACTCAGTCTGATGTGCGAGCTTGAGTCGCGCGGTTGCGACGTTGCCACGAAGCGTATTTAGAGCATTCTTCAACTCCACCCTGAGGATGAGAAGTACTCTCGGCTATGCGGCTCACAAAAACATGACTGGTTGCTGATCTCTAGAACCTCATGTATGGGAACGTCCGGAGGCAAGGCCGCCGGACAATGTCAAGCATTTCGTTGGAGCAGCTGAGCCGCTGGTGTACCATTGGTGGTCCCATGACGGGATCAGCGGGAGCACTACTGAGAGGTCAGTCCTCCTGTGATTCGCCGACGGTTGATGCGCTTGGTCTGAAGATGCTTTTACAGGTTAGGGCAAATTTTTCAGGGCCTGACTCTTGTACCATCAAGGACATGCTACGTTTGCCCATAGCATCACCCGGCCCCTCTTGGTAGACTGTGGACATGTTGCCTGAGCTGAACATCGCGACGCGAACTGTCCTCGTGGCTCCTCGTGGCCGCGCAGCCCTTGTCGATGTCCGCTTATTTGTCATATTTGGTGCGTTTCGTGAGCACCCCAGATATTGCTGGTATAGCTAATTCCCAAACCCGACATAGATTTTGACGTTTTGGATCGGGATAAATATCATAGCGGAGCCAAGGCGCACGCCACACCTTGGCCGAAACGTTTACGCATCCACGTACAATATGTCAGAATAACTCAGCATGCATTTTCGGTTGCGATGCTCGCGCGGCGATGCAGCCCAATCACCGAGGTACGCAGCCCTTGCCATTCAGTCCGCTGCACGCCGCGACGGGGACAATGTGACCTACATTCATCTCCGTTGCATGCGCCTTACGACCGTGTGATCCTCCTATTTTGTGTGCGGGTCTGTGATTTGCTCTTCTTCTCTTCTCATGGGCCTACGGCTATTCGGACGTGGACGCGGGTTGAGCGGGTGCAGTGATGTCAAGGCTCCGTGACGCTGGGTCGGTACGGCTACGCGGTCGCGCGCGCGAGCAGTGCTGCCTGCACTTTTCGCTGGTTACCCCTGCTATAAAATGCTGATGGGAGGGACGCGGTTGGGCCAGGGCCCGCACAGCCGTCGTTCCTCGCGAAATGTTCGTCCGGTCGCTCTGCCTTCTCCCCCTCCTTGCTGGGCTCGCGCACGCTGCTCCGCTCGAGGAGCGCGCGCCGCCTACCATCCAGTTGGACCAAGGCACCTTCGTAGGCACAACCGACGGTACGACGACCAAGTTCCTCGGTATACCGTTCGGAAAGGCACCGTCAGTCTTCGCCGCTGTGCTGTGCTCTCCGTGCCGCTGATCTCAAACCTTCGTGTCTAGTGTCGGAAACCTTCGCTTCAACCTGCCCGTCGCCGTCGACCCGTACACTGGGACCCACACTGCCACCGCCTTTGGACCGTCCTGCCCGCAACAGGCTATCAACTTCGACCTTCCTTCGCAGCTCGCTGAGGACGCCGTCAACTTCATCGTAAACTCAATCTTCCAGCTGGTCTTCCCCTCAGATGAAGATTGTAAGTCACACGTCGCTTGATGTGAAGTGGTCATATCCTTACCTCGAGAACTAGGTTTGTCAATCAACGTCATGGTCCCTGCCGGCACACAACCTGGCGCCAAGTTGCCTGTAGCCGCTGTAATTAAAATCATAGTTGTTCAACGGTTGGTGTTCGGCACTGACACGTCCGTCTTTGTTCGCTATGACAGTGGATCTTTGGTGGTGAGTATCGAGTTCGGTCTACGCTCGCGTGACTAGCGCTGACAGCCTGCAAGGCGGCTTCGAGCTAGGGAGTCCGAGCATGTGAGTATTCCTACCCTCGGGCTGACTTTGGTACATGTTGACCAACACACTACAGGTACGACGGCAGTAGCATCGTAAGCAGGTCTGTCAAAATGGGAGAGCCGGTCATCTACGTGAGCATGAACTATCGGTGAGTTCGGACACCCGCACCCCGTCTGGCAAGTTCAACCTTCTGACATACTTTGGCAGTGTCTCTGGTATGTATCTGTCTTTGGATGCAAGTGAATTGCTGCTGAACGGAAGCCCAGCGTACGGCTTCCTCGCGAGCAAAGAAGTCAAAGATGCAGGCGTAGGCAATCTGGGGCTCCAGGATCGTCAGTACCCACTCCCTCCCTGCGCCCCACCCATCGAAATTAATATAGCTTATCTGGCACCAGAACGCCTCGCGCTCAAGTGGATCCAGAAGTACATCTCCGCGTTCGGCGGCGATCCCACCAAAGTCACGATGTGCGTCCTCGTTCTCACCGAGTGGAGCCGCACATCTGAGTCGCATGCTGACTGCCGCCGCTCTCCGCGTGCAGATGGGGCGAGAGTGCGGGCGCGATCTCGGTCGCGCTGCACATGGTCGCGAACGGGGGCGATGCGCAGGGCCTGTTTCGTGGCGCGTTCATGCAGTCCGGCTCGCCCATCCCGGTTGGGGACATTACGCACGGGCAGCCAGACTATGACGCCCTTGTTGCGAAGACGGGTTGCACTGGGGCTGCGGACACGCTCAACTGTCTGCGCCAGGTGCCGTTCGCCACGCTGAAGACGGCGGTGGACGCGTCGCCAGGTATCTTCTCTCCCCAGGTACGTTCCCCGTTCACCGGTGTAAAGAAGCGGGTAGACTCATCAAAAACAGTCTCTGCGCCTGGCGTGGCTGCCCCGCGTTGATGGCACGTTCCTGGTCGACGCCCCGCAAAACCTCGTACAGGAGGGAAGCGTTGCGGGTGTCCCGTTCGTCTCAGGTGTACGTGTGAAATATTTACCACAAGTTACCACAAGCGACCTTCTCTGACGCAAGTTGTCGCGATGCTCACAGGACTGCGATGACGAGGGAACCCTGTTCTCGCTCTCCACGACGAACGTAACGTAGGTTTCTGTGTCCTACTGCCGCACGCTCCATCCTCACACCGTCTGCAGAACGGACACCGACCTCCGCAACTACATCCATAGCAACTACCTCCCACAGGCGTCGAGCAGCGATCTCGACCAGCTACTCAAGCTGTACCCGCAGGACATCACGCAGGGCTCGCCCTTCAACACCGGAATCTTGAACGCGCTCACCCCGCAGTTCAAGCGTCTTGCCGCCATGCAAGGCGACCTCGTCTTCCAGGCGCCGCGCCGGCTCCTGCTCCAGAGCAGGTCCGGGAAGCAGCCGATGTGGTCCTTCCGTAAGCTGCCACTACCCGCTGGAAGCCTTGCACATGCTCACAGATACCCGTAGTGAACAAGCGCCTGAAGGGCCTGCCAGCCCTAGGTTCGGTACGTCCCAAGCCCCAGTGTAGCTTGACGTGTGACTGACCATTCCACCGCAGGCGCACGCGACGGACATCCTGAACATCTACGGCGGCGGCGACATGGCGGACTATCTGATCAACTTCGTTAACAACCTTGACCCGAACGGGAAGACGGTGCTCTCCTGGCCACAGTACTCGACCTCTGCCCCGAAGTTGCTCACATTCCAAGACGGCCTGGTTCCCCTGGCGATCACCCAGGACGACTTCCGAGTGGACGCGATGAACTTCATGACCGAGCTGTCGCTGAAGTTCCCGCTCTAGTGTGGGTTGATAGGAGATGGCGAGGGGTGGTGCGACTTGCGACAGAAAACGACTCCAACGAGCGATGGTTGACTTCGAATATTGCTTTATCTGTATGTACCATCTTAGCCTGTAAAAAATCACTTCAGCATATTGTGACTGCAGTGGGAAACGTACCGATTGTCCACCAAAACGAGAGCGATTTGCAACGTCGCGATGTGTGCTCACCAGCAGAGAGTTGACAGCCAATAGACGGGGTGATATGATTCAAACAGTATGGCTTACAGATACAAGCGTATGATAGCTCGGTGGCTGAGGAAGAAAGGGAGAGCACCAACAAATAACGTGAACAGGAAGCGGAGAAGACGGAACGGAAGGGGGAGTGGCAGAGGCGGAGGAGCGTTTCTGTCCAAGCTGAGATTACAATAGCGCGGGGCGTAGCTTCTTCCTCGGCCTCACATCGCGCCCATGGCGATGCCCTGGAACGCGGAGCCCACTCGCGCGGGCTGGGCGGGCGTGTGCGGCGGCGGCGGCGCGTTGATCTGCAGTGTCTGGCCAGCTGCGAACAGTGGGTGGGTCTTCTCCTCGAGGTCGGAGTAGAGGACCGTCATCTCCTTGCGAGCCTTCTCCCACATCTCCGGGTCCCAGTATGAGTACGTGCCTTGCTCGCCTCCGGGCACCTTCTGCGACGCCTGGGTACCGGTCTCTTTCGTGAGCCAGAGACGCAGCTCCTTGTGGTACCGCCAATTCCGGTTATACCTATGGACAGGGTTCATGTAGGTTACGCGACGCACAGAGAGGACAAATACACGTACAGCTCCTGAGCAGCAATTTCCTGCAGGGCATCTCGCGGTGACGCGTAGAACATGAAGAACAACGTCTCATCGCTGAACGCAGCAGCCTTGTTCGGTCCCGGTGGAGGCGGTTGCACGTTGTAGCACGCCGGCAAGTGGAAGTCAGGCTCTACTGTATGCGCAGCTGACGAGTCGGCCCAAGGAGTGATGAACGTTGAGTATAGGCTTCTGGAGCATCTCCTGATTAGCCAGGCAGAACATGCACGAGCGGCTGCATTGCATACCCAGGATTTTGCATGTCCAACCCCATCGTCCCCAAATCTGTGCCTATTGCGAGCAGACTTGAATCGGGGTCCCCGCTCTTGATGAGCGCTAGTAGTCCCAGAAGCCCCCAGCGGTCCGCGGGTGACATGAGTACTTGCTGGGCCGGCGTTTGTGGCACTACAGATATGCGCGTGAGCCAAAGTTCATGGGCAGGTGACGTGTCTCATCACCTGCAACGGTTCCATTCGCAACGTATGGCGTCTGTTGCGCAGGTGTTGGTTGCTGGGAGGAGAAGGCTGGTGGTGGTACGCCTGGGGGAGCGTTCAAGTGCTGTCCTTGCTGCTGTTGTGGCTGCGGGCCAGGTGTTTGTGCCTGCGCGTTCTGGACGTGGT